GATGGGAACAATGGGACGCGCTTGATGCGCGGTGCCGCGGAGCGGGCAGCGCCGCCGGGCCGGGGCAGCGCCCGGGGAAGCGGCGCTAGGCCCGAGCCCCACGCAGGGGCTGGGGGGGTTGCTCCAGGCTGGGGGATGCAGCCCCGGTCGCAGCCCGGCTTAAGGCCGCGGTTTTTGCTGCGGAATTGCCTCGTGGCAGCGGAGCCTGCGCGCCAGGGCAAGGCAGCACAAGCGGCCCGGCTGCGACAACAGCGCAGGAGCCTGGCCCAGAAGGAGCAAAACGGAGTAGGAAAGGAAGGAGAAAATCCCGTAACTCTAGAGAAGACCAGGAGCAAAATAAAGGAGGCTGTTTATCAAACCAGGAGTAAACGATTGCTGGTTTTAAACATCCCTGACACAAGAAAACTGTGCACAAAAACGTGCCCTAGGTAACTAGGCTTACCCTTAAAATTCAGGGTCCTCAGAGGCAAAGATCTTAAATGGAGAACTGGTTTGGAGGAAGGACAGGAGCTGTTTTACTGGAATTAGCTCATTTTAGTGTCATGGAGCTGTTATGTAAATACAGCTAGAGATGGGTTTGGTGGTTGTGGCTTTCTTTAATAATTTGTGTTAAGAGGCTAAAGAGATATAAAAGAAAAACAAATTCACAATTGAAAGTACTTGCAAGACTGCCTGAAAGCCAGAAAATAAGGCAGGGAAATTTCGTTTTGAGAAAATAAAATCTCTGCTCGTTATTCTGYATACACGTCAGTATTCCTGCGAGCAAAGGAAACTCTTTTGTGCCACCTAATGTTAAGTGGAGATCACTGTTGCCTCTGCTCTCCCGTCACACATCATGCGGATGCAGGGGCCTGGTTTCGAGGGTGCTGAGCACTCCCTTCCCATCCCCTTCCATACAGGAATGAGGAGCCCAGCGCTGCGGGCAGCCTCCCCATCAGCTCTCCAGGAGAGTCACCCCAATATCAGACCAGGATGAGAAGCTTCAGATCCGCCCTCTGGGTCCTGGTGCTCCTGAATACCCAAAATTACTTTTTGAGAGAGACATAGAAGGGGTAGAAGGGAGCCCAGAGGCACAACCTGAAGAACGAGGTCTCAGTTTTAACAGTGTAAATCCGGAGTGAGCAGGTCCAGGTGTTTTACAGCGTGCCCTGCATCACGTGCACAGGGAAACACTGGCTCCAAAACTGCATCTGCAGCAGCTCCTCGCTCTGAGGCCTCCTCCTTGCAGCCTTTCCACAGGCACCGCTCCCAGGGAAGAATTAACATAGCAAGAATTTATGGTGTGTACTTAGCAGCCATTAACACTAATGGAAGATACTAATTTGGTACTTAAATATCTCGCACAGTCCTTTAAAGAAGAAAGGGCTGAGAGAAAGAATTTCTCTGATAACAATGAATTACATTGCTTTTGTGATTTTAATGGAGAGTGTTAAACATCTTCAACAATTTTTCAGGCTGAATCTCCTTTGCTTTTTAAGTTATTTGAAAAGAAGAGAACCTGAGACTTCCTTCATATTTAAATTACTCTCAAGCTGTGCTCTCCGCCCCTTTAAAGAAGCCCAGTACCATATGAATTTGTTCACATGACAGCAGAGATATTGGCCTCCTTCATCGCAGCCCTTAAAGATCATTCCGAATGTAGCCCGATAAACCCTTACCTAGATTGCGTTTGACCAAGAGACTTTAMAAATTCTCCAGAACGAAGAGTTTTTCTTTCCTCTTACTTACTTATTTATTAAGTACCTAATCCCGCAGCTGCAGGCAGGGCAGGCTGGAGCATCAGGGCTCTACGTTGGCACCACGTCAGCTCTCGGAGCAGATCCCCGTGCAGGCGGAGGTGCTTTGGAGCGGAGGTTGTCCCGTCAGGAGCCGGGATCCGTGCGTGGCCGGGGCTGACGCACATCGCCGCCAATTGGCTAAGGGGCCGATCCCAAAACACAGACATAATTAATCATTTTACTCACGAGAGCAGTTTCCATTTAATTTAGGGAGATCATCCATGCAAATTAAGTTATTCATTTGTATCTTTGCACAATCAGATTTGAATGCTCCATCCTAGAGAACTGTATATATAATATTTTAGGCAGGTGACCAGTCCCRTTCAACGGCCAATAGCCCTGGAAATACTCAGAGATTTGGGCCTAAATTTGGACTTACTTTTGCCTTTTTTTTTTTTTTCCTCCTCCTCTCTAAACTAGTATCCTGTGACCATTAGACCAGAAAGGCTCCACAGCAATTACATATTTAGGATATGTGATAGCTGTAGTTAAGATCTTTATGACTGATTGCAGGATAAAATTTACTTTAAATGTGCAAGAGCCCATTTCTAAACCGCAGTCTTTCAGCTGGTTTTCATTATATATATTTTTAAGGATCAAAAGCAATTAGAGTGTACAGAGTCTAAATGGTAAATAATTTCCACATCAAAAATCTTACTAAAGCAACAAGCATCTATTTTTGTTAACACTGTAAAATACAGAAAGGGCCAAAACAAATAAATCTCTGATTTAACGCACTAAAAAATAGCAAGACTTCTATTTCCACCCTGAGAACCTATATGTCAGATTTCATCCTAGAAAGGTTTTGTTGTTTTTAAGACTTTGGAAAATGGGTAAACAGGGGGATTAAACTACCCTATTATGCAGTGGGGCTGTGAACGGTACCGTAGTTTAAACACACTGCATTTCCAAGGGGATTTGTGTATGGATAGCTATTTTACATGGAATTTTGCATCCCAGGGACCCTGCGTGGGTAACTTTGCTGAWTC